AGGTACTCCTTGTCCTTTACTGATAATCATTTCAATATTATTTGTTTCTTGGTGTTATTATGCTTGATCCAAATTATAACATGGGTTCTACACTGCTGCCAGGAAAATATCCATAGGGTTGGTCGAACAGCTCGTGGGGAAGGCGGCAAAGGAAATGGTTTGCTTTTCCTGATCCCTGAAGAGATGCAATTTCTTCGCTATCTAAAGGTGAGTTTCCCTCTAACATCATGGGATAATAAACAAGCTGATCCTGTTGTTCTCAGCGTATGCATTTGCTGGACCTTATAAAGCACTCCCTCCCTCCGGTCCTATTTATAAGTTACTTTTACCAATCTCATCAATACTAATACAATAAAAGTACAAAAAATAAAAGTAAATGAAATTCCAAACATAACCTTCAAGTAAAAAGTAAAAATTAAGTCAATCATATAATATTATTTTTTCTGTCTCTCTTTTTCTTACTTTTTAAGGGTAGTTTAAAAAATTTAATATGAAACAAAACAATTTTATCAATTAATGATTTGTAAAGTGGACTAAATTATACTTCTAAAATGTGACTGATATTCATGACCAGAGGAGTAGGTATAGGTTCCAAAATAGGTACTTGAGGGTTGAGTGGCAAGAAAACTAGACAGTGAAAGGCAGTAGATGCATGTTCCCTCAACTTTTCTAGGAAATTTAATTCAGCTTGTATCATCAATTTTTTTTTAATTAAAAAACATGTGAGTTACATGGCATCCCGAGAAAGCATCAAATGTGTATTATGGTATCCACGTTTCTATCATGTTATGAGTGAACCCTGGCAAATGTCAGGCGGTGCCAATGATCTCGACAAAATCTTGAGTTATTACTCATAAGTTCTAAGAGATCTGGAAGTAATTTGTTCAAAATGTGAAATTATCAAAAAAGGAAAAAAGAAAAAGAAATTATCAAAACTCCATTTGACCACATGGGCCATTCTGACTATTTTGACTGCCGGACGGGCAGTTGGACAACGATAGTCTTCCGGTGTCCTATTATTAAATTAATTAATATCAATAATAATTGGCATAGATTTAACAAATTTTTATTCACAAAAAAAAGTTTTTCACATCCATTTAATTTTTTTCTCCTAATATAGTTACATTTTTTTATTAAAAAACTTTAATATATTTTTCAAAAAAATATTATCACTAGAGAAAATATTGGTGGTTGCTTTAAATCATTAAATTACTTGTAAAAATGGAAGAGAATATTTAAAAACAATCTGCAACATTTATAAACTTATGCAATAATCAAACCGGATTAATTAAAACGTTATCAATTTGACTTGCAAATATTAAAAGAGAACTTGCAGGTCGTCAAAGGATGAGGAAAAAAAAATTGCACTTTATTTTTGAGGCAAAAAATGATTAGAGTTGTGGAAATTCGAGAAGTAACTCGAAAACGTGAGGAAAAATTTTAAATGGATGTGTAAACTTGATGAACCTGTAAAAAGTGGAGCTGGCTTCCCTTCTACCCTCCTCCCAACTTCTCCACTCTTAGATTTCAATTTCAACGGCTGAAATTCATTTTATTATAAAAGTATTATTACAATATTAAATAATAAATTTATTTATAAGAGTAATATTAAATAATATACTATGAAACTTCACAGCTTATATTTATTAAGGTATTTATTATTAATATAATAATAATAATTTAATAATGAAATGAATCTCAACCCTTGAAATTTGAGATCCAAGGGTGGAGAAGTTGGGAGGAGGAGGGATTGGTGGGAGGAGGGAAGCCAACTCCATAAAAAGTACACTAGGTAATTTTTATTTTCCTTTTGCTCTTAACCTTTGTTATTTTATTTAATTTAAATTAACTAGGACGATTGTCCCTGGAATAATTGCAGTCCTTGTGGTTATCACCAACCAATAAGAATATGAGGACGTTCCATGAGCAGGATGGTCGACGCTAGAAAGCATAAAGTATGTCTATTTCTGGGTTCGGTTTCGGTACTCAGCGGCCGCTGAGTACCGTGGTGCTCATCAGGCCGAAACGCACCGTTTTATTAACCATGGAGAATCTCTGCCGTTCATTACGTTTTTATCTCAACCGTTCATTCATTTTTCATGTTAATAAGGCTTTTAACAATTCCTTTGGTCGACTTTACCGTTTGCTGGCTGTCAGGTTTAAGACTCTCAAACCAGAGCTTTATCGGCGTCTACTCTCGCCGGTGCCGTCACAATCATTGGGTTCTGTATCTCCATTTGGACCTTCTCCGTCAGATCATCACCAAGGGTAGCCTTTCTGGAGAGTTATTTCCTTTATCTCGATGAGCTCTCTCTCGGCGACACAGCCTTAGCCATTTCCTGCTGATTTTTTTTGTAGTGTTTCCTGTTGATTTTTCTCTTACAGATCATCGCCAAGCATGGCTCTTAATTTCTGCGACACTTCGATGAGTTATTTCCTTTCTAGATCATCGCCAAGTATGGTTCTTAATTTCTCTTGCAGTGCTGTCCTGTCAATTTTTCTCATTTTGTTGGCTCTGTGTTGAATTTTCAACCATGGGGTGCGAATTGACGATTTGTAGTTTTATCCTTTTTATTGTGCCATTGATTGGGTTGTCAGTTCTGTCTGAAGCACGTGACATTGATTAAGCTTGTTCTTTATAACGTTATCTAAGAGAGATTTTGGGCTGACTTAAGCGATTTGAATGTTGAGAAGACTGTTTTGGATGTGGGAACTGGAAGCGGCATTCTTGCGATATGGTCAGCACAGGCTGGAGCAAGCAAAGTATACGCAGTAGAAGCAACTAAGATGGCAGAACATGCTCGTACTCTTATCAAAGCAAATAATCTTTAACATTTGGTTGAAGTAATTGAGGGCTCAATGGAAGATATAACTTTACCGGAGAAAGGTAAGCACAACTTGCTTAATCTATTTTCCAAGTTTAGAATTTAATTTTTTGGTGGTATTTATCATTGACACATTTTAATTGTCTCATTTCTAATTTTCAATGTCATGCAACTTGCAGTTGACGTGATAATCTCTGAGTGGATGGGATATTTTCTTCTGCGTGAATCTATGTTTGATTCAGTAATATGTGCTCGTGACCGCTAGCTCAAACCAACAGGTGTGATGTAAGTATTATGTTAATTTTGTTGCTGGAATAATAATAAACTTTACACTTACATGTATTAATGCTCAGCAACTTGTTTCTTTACAAAAACACTATATGATTTAGTTTAAACTGTCTCAATACAATATCGTTTCATTCAAACTCCATCACTGTTTGTTTTGGCCTGTGCTTTCTGCTGCTGATTCATTTTTTTATTTGGAATCAGGCATGCCATTGTAGAAGAACTAACGGAATTTGGAGCAACTGTGCATATATGTTCCCGTAACCAATCAGACATTGACAAGTGTTTGAAAGAGTGGAGGAGCAAAGGATTTTGTTTCACTAGATCAGTCTGCGATGTGATCTGAAGTCACCAGTGTCAAAATTTAATGCAAACTGTTGCCTCCATTTTTCATGGAAAGCTCAACATCCTTGTAAGCTTCTCTCGGGTTAGCTTGTATTGATAATGATAGTGTGGTCAGTTCTGGAGAAGATGGCTGTATTCGCGTTTGGAAATTAGCTTCGAAATAAACTTACGATCAGAGCAACTACTAATATCCTACCTTTAAACACATAATTCAATATACAGTAAAGAAATGTGTAGTTCTATCTTGCGTTTAGATGTTCAATGGTCTGCACTATTGGTGGGAAGGAAATTAGAGGTTACATTACGCTTGTGCAGTATCTTTATAGATGCATGTTAGGACTGACCCATCATTCAATCTGGATTTAGATCTTCTTAGTTATCCTTTAAAGGAAATCTAGTTATTGCCATAGAAGCTGGCAATGTTTTCAAGCTAGAATGAATAGAGAGGGAAAAGCACTGGAGGGTGAAAGAACATTTCAATATTGACTTGCAAACACACATTGTGTAAGATGATGTTCTCTGTAAATCAACGCAGAGGAAAAGAGATTATAGTACAATAAAAAAAATCTTGCCAGTATTTCTCTTTTCAAAATTGAACGATTCTTTGCATTTTAATTGACTGTCAAGCACATCTTGGGATAATATTGACCTAATCATCTTTGATGATTTGCTCACTGGGTGTAGAAATATTATGCACATCTTGTAGAAATATTTGCTCACTGCAGAAGATGTATCTACTGTTATGGGCACCAATTTGGAATCTTCTTACCATTTGAGCCAACTTGCACACCCGCTTCTTAAAGCTTCAAGATAGATGTTTGGCATCAAAAATCATGAGGAAGTGAGAAATTGTGTTTGGCATCAAAAATTAGATCTACATTCCTAAAATATATGTAGTAAGAGTAGTGTGATGTACATTTCCAAAATAAAGAAGATAATGTAAAGCTATAAATGGATAAGGATGGAAATTGATTTGCTCTATACTGGTTGCAGGATAGATGTTGCTGACAGAGTTGGAAAGAAATCTACAATGAAGCAAAGCAAGGACCATCCCACAAAAAATATGCACAATTGTTTCCAGAATTGCACTATATTGCAGAATCAAGGTGCTGCGGGAAAAAAACAAAAAACAGAGAATATGTTAATGCTTGAAGACTACAAACTTGCAATATGTAGTATGCTGATTTGAAGAAAGACTATAGTGCTGGTTTGTGGAATTATTAGATGATAGGGATTGTATTAAATGATGTAAAAGTATCATTTTTTGTGCAATTTTGAGTATGTAAACGTTGTTAATTGTATATAGGCCAAAAGAGACAAATGTTGTAAATTGTATATGACATTATGAAAATTAATAAAATTATGTTTTTGTGCAAATTGTGTATCTCTTTTTCTATTCATTACCTTGTGAGTAGTTTTCCATAAGATCTATAGCTTCAAGTGATGGAATTTCATTACTTTGTGCCTGCATTTGTAAATGTTAACAACCATGACATCAAAATAGGATAACAATATATACCATTTAGTAGTGACCAATTTATTGCTTCATACCACCAATAAGCTTGTAAATGACAATGATTGTGATGTAGGGGGTGAAAAAATATGTTGTACCGGAGGGATTGCATATGAAAATGTTGAATCTTGTATTTGTACTGGTTGTGTTGGAGCTTCCAAGTAAGAAATTGCTGAAGCTTGTAAATCTTTCAGTTGATCATCCTTTCTTCTTCTTTTTGATGATGAGGCCTTTTCTTTTTCCTTTGATGTCTTCTTATATGGTGAAGCTTCTTGAGAGTCCTAAAAAAAAATTCAAATACAAAATAAGTAATAATTTATTTTTGTCTTATATATAAATTAAAATTTACTACCTTTGATACAACTCTTCTTCTTGTTTTTAAATTCTTCTCTTCCCAACCTTTCCAACGTCTCTTGCTTGATTTTCCATCTCTTTTTTTGAACCCCTTTGGCATATTTTGTGACTCTATGACTAGTTCAGAAGTATCATTTTCATTACCATTAGGAATATGATTTTCTAACTCAATGACACATCTCTGAACACAAGTAAATCCCTCAAGTGTCTTAGCAGCCTTGGATGCCAATCTTCCCATCATAAGCATTAACTGTCTATACCTCTGCGTGATGTCAAGTCTAGGATCTACTTGAATCTCATTTCCTCTAACATCATGGACAACACCAAACCTTGCTTCCTTAGTCCAACGCTTTAGAATATACTGGTCAGGCATAACTCTTACATCCTTTGACTCGTACACTTTTAATGCATGACAACAAAATATTCCCGTGGACTCAAACTTTTGACAAGTACAAAAAATTTCATGGGTATCAGGTTTGAACTCAACTCTCCATTCCCCTTCCTGATCAATCATACGGGCAATATATACAAATAATGACTCTTTCTCATCACGTGTAATTAATTCTACAGAGAATTGGAGATCCCATTGCTCTTGAAACATGTCAAAAACAGTAGGGGTATAAACTTGCACAAGTTGGCGTAGAATAGGTGCACTTTGATTAACCATCCTTGGAATCTTTTGTCGAGATTCATACTCAAGTTCCACTTCTTTGTATCGCTTCTTTGCCACAACCTTGTCAAACCTTTTAAAAAATCGTTTGATATCCAATTTTGGCTTTGTACATCTCTTCACATCAGCATTCACACTTTCACTAATCTGTGTGCTCCTCATGCCTAGTGTGCATGTTTCCTTCACATAGCACCAAGCCCATTTCTCCTTAATATCATAAGTAGACTTCAACCATCCATTTTCATGAACATTATAAGAAGATAATAATTGGCTCCATGCTTCTTCAAACTTCTCTACATCAACATAATTAAACATGCATTTCTTGAAATCAGTTAAAAAATGTGACCCATCTTTCATGAGGTTCCCAAGGTGTTTAACACCATTTTTTAATAAATGCCAACTACACAAACAATGTTTTGTATTGGGAAGAACTTCGCACAATGCTCTTGCCATCGCTTGATCTTGGTTTGTAAACACAGTTTGAGGCTTTTTTTGTATATGAGCATCCAAAAATGTTTCTAACAACCATTTAAAAGACTCAATTGTCTCATCATATAATAGTGCTGCTCCAAAAATGACCACACTTCTATGATGATTGAAGCCAGAAAATAGTGCAAGGGGTCTATGATTCTGATTTGTGCTATATGTTGTATCAAGTGATACAACCTCACCAAAATGTGCATAATCTATTAGCATGCGAGCATCGGCCCAAAAAACATTAGTGATGTGTTGATCAGGGTCCAATTGATATTTATGGTAGAATGCTGGATTTTCTTCAATTTGTTTCTGAAAGTATTCAAGTAGACACCCCACCTCACCAAACTTCATATGTCTCTTCCTTTTGCACATCAAGTAAGTCTTTACATCTGTCATTGTATAACCAAGATTTTCTGGACCACCGGCATATGTACTCATTAAGTCAAAAGTATCCCTAGGTTCAAGTCCAGATTCTTCTGCAAGATCCATTTCATAGGCTTGAGCTTCTGATATATTTCTCTGACATGGTAACAAGCTTACTGTGTCTTTTGTGTGAAGTGGGTGATTATGTTCTCTATCAATCACAGTGATTCTAAACTTTTGGCCAACACGAGATACTACCATTCTTGCCTTACAATTAGTCCTTGTCTCTGGTCGATGTGTAGAAGCATATGCCCTTTTTTCATTTTTCCTTCGCAGACCTTCCTTGCAACATAAAAATCTATATGTAATAATAATGGATTTGTCTGCTCTACTCTTTGTAGAAGTACCCTTTCTAACTCCAAATCCAATTCTTTTACCATATTCTGTCCAAAACTCCCATGCCTCATCTAAATTTTCAAACTCCCTCCCTATTTTGGGTTCCAATTCATCTTCCTCTTGCATGGTTCCTGTGAAGAAAAAAAATTATATTATACATTTTTATCAAAAATAAAATTTTCCAAAACATACAAGGTTATGGTAAAGATAATTTACACTCTTCAAACATTATATATTAGTTCTTCAAATAGCCATGCACACCATATATATATATATATATATTTCATCCATATACATATACACAAACTTCTTTCTTCATATTCTTTTCAATAAATATATATATATATATATACAAGGTAGAATTTCATTCACCTAATACCAGGAAAAAAAAAAGGCTGATCAAGCCAAATTTTTTATAACAAGTCATAGGTTCATTTTACTAAACAATGAGAAACATTAAATGACAATTGACAGCCAAATCAAGGAAATGGAAGATGTTAAGCTTGGTTTACTGTCAAACTTATTCTTGTTTAATATGCTTAATTAATGGCCAAATTCTCCCTCGTTATATTGTTTCCCATGCATTGGAAAGAACTGTATCAAATTGGAAAAGGACAAGATTATGTGTAAAGCAAGCTTAATGAAGATAACTCATATTTTTGACGCAAATTAAGCTGTTTCAGATACAACATTCATAGGCATCGCAGCAGACAAAATTCATTCCCTAGCCCACAATTTTTAATTTGTTGCAAATTCAGTATTCCATTTAACGTAGCCCTTGTCGACTTACACATACACATATATGTATATATATATATATGTATGTATGTTTCAGAAATTAGACAGCATTCGGTCATCCTTTGAAGTCTGTTTCTACAAGCTGAATGTGGGTCTATTGCTTATTGTCTTCATCATTCATATTTGCTTTCAGTTTTAATAAGACAGCAACCAAAAAACAAACATGAAGAAGAAGAAATTAAAATGAATTAATGGAGTTCTTTAGCTTACAAGAACCCCTTCTGACTGAATGATGTTGTTGGAATTGAATGGTCGAACTTGAAGCTTGAAAGAGAGTGAGTAGAATGGCGCCAAAACACATGCTCTCTCCCTCCAACTTTCAATTTTATATTGCCGAATGAAAGGAGAGACTGAACGCGTTCAATGTTAATTCAACGCAGAGATTCTCCATGGTTAATAAAACGGTGCATTTCGGCCTGATGAGCACCACGGTACTCAACGGCCGCTGAGTACCGAAACCGAACGCGTCTATTTCTACATTCAGCGGCCCTGCTTTGTTGGGATGTGTTGCTACAAGAGTTGGGGCGCATGATGCCATAAGTTCTAAGATCCCAACTTGTTGAAAAATTTAGTGCCAGTATTAAATTAATTTTGATTCACCCCTGGCCTGACCTGTTTGGACAAAGCCCTACTTTTATTAGAGACAATTTTATTTAAAACATGATCAATTATTGAATGTAGGTATTTTTCTCAGTGAGAATTCATACCTTAATTTATCACGTTGTGAAAAACTAACCCTTCTACTATACCTAATTCTCGCTAGTTGTATGCTTCCTAGTTTAAATCCCTGTAACTATTTCTGTCAATTCTTCACGTGGTTTTCTCTTTCTTCTATATTCGATCATTTCCTCCCGGCAAAAGAAAACATTTTGTTACACCTGGATGCCTATTGCCTAATATTCACAATTGCGTGGCCTTTAGGGTAGATCTGTAATTTTACTTTCCTCTCATTTGCATTTTGCAACAAAAACAGCAGGCATTACACAGTATCAGACAATGGAGTTCGGTATATATGAGGCGCGATCTCATACAAAGGAAATAAAGCAGAGAAAGGGAATGAATATTACTTCTTGTCACCCCAATACACCACAGTTTGTAACCACAACTTTTGAATAAGGGCGATTGAACCCTCTTTCTGCCACAACAGCCCTCTTGTCTCCTATTAGTTTTGCTACCCTGCAATATCGTGATTTGATTAATAATGTCATAGCTGTAGATTCAACATCAGATGGCAACAAGCACGTGACAAAACTAGCCGTTAGGCTTAATTAACAGTTCTGAGTTTATTCCAGGCCCGCCCGGCCTCTGGGGGGGAGGACTGCATTATTTTTATAAGAATATAATAATAAATACAAAAGAGAATTTCTTCGTCCTTATATGGCTTCACGGTACTTGGAGATGCATGAATAAGGTAAATTTCTCATCGACAGAACTTGATTTAAGTTTTCTATTGTTCGTTGTTAGATTTTCCGTTCCCATTCCCAGTCAGTTAGTGCCAAATCGTGATGTGAAAGAAGATACACAACATTAAGAAGCTGCCCGGGACAAGCATGGAGATGACAGAATCAAAAGAGATGCAAAACTCACCTGAAATAAGGAGAACCAGTATTCTCTTGGACAGTTTTCACCTGTGCAATCCTCTTTACAACCTCCACTCCTTCCACCACTCTTCCAATAACAAGAGCTGATGCATCCAATTCCGGAGAATCCTTTGTGGCAATCACAAACTCAGTCCCATTTGGTTCAACTCCAACCTCCTCTTGATCAATCTCTAGCTTCCCTTTTCTTGCAACCAGCTTCAGCTTTGGAGGCGGTTTTGATGGATCTCTCACAATAACGCCCACGCTTCCGGCCAAGTTCTTGGTGCCTGCACATCCCTCGTACGTTCTCTCCCACTCTTCAACAAGACTCTCAGTTGCCAAGTTGCTTCCTGTCCTCTTTGCAGCTTCTGCATCCGCCCCATAGGATCTAACTCCACCATGTTGAACGTAGTTGGGCATGATTTTGATAAACTCTTTTCTTCTGTAGCTAATGCCCGCAGTTCCGTTAACAATCTTGGTAAACCTGTTGACATATTTAGTTCTTCAAAATAAATCCGACATCACTTTTTCAATAATCAATACGAGCAAACTTGATTCAAACTTGATTCTTGAGGTCGTGTCACTGCTTTACCATGTCAAAGAGTGATAGGAATTAGAAGGATAGAGGCAAAGATTCTGAAATAGATTTAGTGGATATAATGCATTGTAATTATAATTATAAATTTATAAATTATAAATGTATAAATATGTTGTATCGTTTTACTTATGAATAATATGGCTGGTTAAAATTTTTGTATTATGTATAAGCATGTAGACAATGAATTGGCCATAAAAATTCTAATATTGAAAAAAAGTTAAATTCCCATTAATCACTGTACAACCCACACTAGCTCATAAAAAGACAGGTTAATCAGACACCCACTTTTATGCACAAAACATGTCAATGCAATTTAATTAGTTCATAATTATATTTTTGAATTTAAAATCTTAATTTAATTGAAAGAAAAAGTATACATACCAAGCATGTTCTTAATTTAATTGAAAGAAAAAGTATACATACCAAGCATGTTTCTTTTCCTATAATGTTTTGTCTAATGTCATTATCCCTGGTATTTGGAAAGGTTTATGATGTGCCATCAGATAGTTTATTGGGTTGACCAAGGATACAAATTTGGAAGCTCATATTTTGGTTATTTATTGCCAGCCATCAATTTTATCATTAATTAGTGCTTGTAATTATTTGTGACTGTCTTTTTTTTTTTTTTTTTGCATATAATTATTTGATGGAAAGACAGAAAGATATAAAAGTGTACACACTGCAATGTATAAGTATAGCGATATAGAAAGATCTCCAACTGAACACTGGCATTTTCATAAAGTGATTAATCATATATAGAAGCAAGATTGGTAAAGACGAGTCGTTAGCTAGCTATTTGATGAATTTCAAATCCAAGACAGTACTATGTATATTTCATGGGACTACATGCACATATATATATATATATATATGTCTAGTGTCCTATACCAATAATTGGACCAGAGTGTTGAGGCAGGAGGCGAACTTGAGATTTATGACCTTTCCCTCCTCGGCTTGGCCCTGAGGCCTTCACTGTCCACAAACCCCATCCTTGTCATATGAGGGTTTCTGTCCCTCTACACAGAGGCCGAGCAGCAATAACCCCACAAAGCATCTCTTGATTAAGGAACAAGAATATCACAAAGCAGAGGAAGCAACATCTAAATCTAATATTCCTACTCATTATTGTATCTAGAGAGTATATCAAAGCAAGAAGCACATACTGAAGAATCAGAAGAATGTCATAACTAAAGTATATATATGATGGAGATACATGTGAGTACGTTTTATGGCTTTTTATATTATTGCTTTGGAGGAAGGATAAGAAAGGAAGATGCATGCACTCCTTCAAGGTTTGAACCAATGTCAAATAATGATTCATGAAAATGATATTCACCCAACAATGCCAAATAACCTATCTCTCAATCATGCGCATGTGCTTTCCTGATTAATTTCTTCTTCAGTCTGGGAACTTGTGTCATGTATTCAACTCCAATAAATAAAAATTAATTCATAATTAAGGATTACCTGTCAACCCCAGCGGGGACATCATCTCCATAAAGCCCCATGGTAATGCGACCAGCAGGTTCACCATCAATGGAGATGTCAAAGAAGACGGTCTTGGTGGTTTTTCTTTCGGTGCAGCCATTAGAATCGACAGTCGAATTCTCTGGAGTCTGGTCACTATCTTGGGCTCTTAAAGATGGGGGAAGAGGCAGTGCCTGAGCACCCAGAAGAAGAAGCAAGCAAGAGTTGCTGCAAACTGTGAGCTGTCGACGTGATAGCCTGCAATTGAGGCTGAGGATGGGAAGAGATGGAGATGTGGTGGGTGAAGGTTGGAGCTGTGAAGGAGACGGTGGCGAGGGTGTCGGAGAAGGAAGATTGAGGGGTTGAGAAGATCGGAGGGCTTTAGGAAGCCTTTGTAACATTGCTGGGTACTGGATTCTCGGGGTCGTGTCACTGCTTTTCCATGTCGAAGAGTGATAGGAATTAGAAGGATAGAGGCAAAGATTCTGAAACAGATTTAGCGGATAAGAACGCCGGTTTTTGGCCCTTGCATATCATACCCATAGCCAATAGATACACTTTTCTCTGTAGGTCCCCCTTTTGGTCATGGAGCTTTATTTAGATATTTTAGATTTAAAATTTTTAAAAAATGAATTCCTCTTCAATAAAAATTTAAAAAATATTTTTTATTTTAAAATCTCATATTAATATAAAAAAATATGAAGAATATAATAATAATATAAAATTAAATATGAGTTGTCTAATTTTAATTTAGAGGATTTAGATCACTCATATAGTCATGATCGCTTAACTAGTTTTTTCTTTAACAAATTACTTTATATAAAATATTATTGACTGATCTAAATTTAAGTTAAACCGAACCTCAAATTTTTTAATATAACTTTTTTATTCGCAAGACTTCAACTCATATTTATTTAAATAATTTTTTAATATTAAAACTCAATGAGTTAGCTATTAAGTAATTGGCACTTGGGAGTGAATTATGAGCTTTTTATTTTAAAAAATTAGAGGCACCCCAGCATTTATTCAAATTTTGAGATAATTTACGATTTACAATGATAAGTCTACTCTTTTTTAATATTCAAAATTTGTCCTATAACCTTTATAGTTAAAAAAAAATTTGTCTTTTAACCCAACATTTAATTCAAACAATACTAGCTCTCTTCCCTATATATGGAGTTGGATTTCCTCATTTACAAAGGAGAATACACTACATATTTAAATTAGATTGGATAATTTTTTAAAAGTACATATTTAATTGGAACAATTCAGATTCATAATGGAGGAACAAGGAAAAACATAGTGAAAAGAAATTGACTAGTTTAAATATCTGGGAGAGGGGTCTCTACTCTCTTCTTCCCCCACTTTCCAATCATGATAATTCATCAAATTTATAATTAAAATAAATTTATTTAATAAAATGATATCAATGGTTTTGGGAAGTGGAGGGAAAAAGAAAATAAAGAAATAGTCTCCTCTCGTAAACATTTTCAAACTCGTACATGCAAAGTCATTATCTTTGTTGTTTAGGATGTGTTTGGTTAGGGGGGCTTTGGATTTAATAGAAATGCTCCCCTCTTTCATTTGGTTCAGAAATTTTGAAAAAAAGTTCCCCTCCTCTCATATTAATCCTTCCAATTAAGGTTGCACAAATACCAAATTGGATCGAGTTATATGCTAACTCAAAGTCTAGTTTGAATAGAAATCGAGCTAGAATTTTCAATTCAATGACTAGTCTTATTGAACTTGATACCTAGATCGGGTTAGACTCACTACATCGGATTACTGGACCATGACTTTTTTTTAATAAAGGACCATGACTATTTTTTATTTGTGGGTGATGGATATATTTAATTTTCTTCTAATAGGAGATAAAGAATTTCTCATACAATTTTCAAGAAACCACACCACTAGAGAATTCTTTATCAATATTTTTTTTATGCTGTGTTTTGAATGTCAGACAGTCAATGTTGTTAAACATAGGGACAATTCCCCAGGTGCTAATGCAAAAAATTTTAAAATCCATGTGTAGACATGCACTCTACATTTATTCAACTGAATGAATCGAGCTCTATGGCACTAATAGTGAAAGGATGAAAAAAAAAAATGATGCGTGATAGTGACTATGCATGATTAAAATAAAAAAATTACTTTGATGCAAGTGCAAAAATGATTTTATAGTAACTTAGCCTATTGAAAAGTCTAGCTCTATGGCATTATCAATAAAAGGATGAGGCACAGCTGAGATGATTAGCTTGGGATGAAATATTGGAAAGAAAAATACATGATAGTACTATTTTTGCATATCAGAGAAAGCAGTTGTAGAGACAAAAAACAGAAAAACCAGAAATTAGAGATGAAAAATAAAAAATGCAATTGCAGAGGAAGCAGAAAAACCAAAATGGAGAGACAAAAAATTAGAAATTACATTATCTCAATAAAATATTTCAAGAGGATGGAAAAGAAAAACAAAAAACCAAAACCTCAAAGTGGCTTTTATTGTAGCGTGAGTCTTTGCGAGAACACAAGGAAAGTTGTTGAGAAGTGTGAAGCAAGTGTAGACACATAGCGGACGAATCCTAAAGTTCAGCTACTCGGGTGGCCAAAGACGCGATGCAGCAACGCACAAGATTGAAATGAAGAAGGAGAGACTCGCGCCTCACGTGCGGCCGTTCTATGCAATGATGAGGATTGAAATTTGGGCAGGCAAAAAGAAGAATGAATGGCACAAAGTCTAAGTGAAACTATTTTACATTTATGGTTTTGTAAATAATATATTTAATATTAAAAAATATATTTACCTGAGTCAGGTCAGATATGGATCAAGTGCAATGGAAAACGGTGCAATGGTTGAGAAATAAAAAATTATCACCGTGAATTTTTATCTAATGGCTAATAAAAAAAATGTGTATAAAAAAGTTTTTTGTTTGCAAACATACAATCACGTTTTATCCAAAATAAAAATTATAAAAAATATAATATTTTTAATAAATCTTTTAATAACCAATTTAGATAATACAAATTTTTTTTAATAATCCAATATATTAATTTTTTATTTTTTATTTTTTATAAATACTATCTAGATAGTTCATATTTAAAATTTTTAATTTATTTTTTTTTTAAAAAATATTTTTTGAAAAGTGCAAGAAATATTTTCTGTATTTTTAATATTTTATTTATCAAAATAAAAACTTATAAGGATTATAAATTTTTTTAATATTAACTATAAATTGTTCAGAGTATATTTAAATAGTTAATTTATAAAAAATAAAAAATTAATATTAAATTAGATCATTCAGATAAAATCTATATCGTCCGAATTAATAATTAGTATATTTATTAAAAAATTATATTTTTTATACATTTTTATTTTGGATAAAATATAATTGTATGCATGAGGAACTTTTTTGTACACTTATTTTTTATCAAGCATTAGATAAAAATTTACGATGAGGATTTTCCTACTTCCCAGCCATTGCACCATTTCCCACTACACTTGATCCATATCTGATCACGTCAGACCATATGGTCTCTAGTAGCAATCTCTAACTTGGCCTTACTTGATGATGTGATTTAGCTCAGTCAGTCTAGTACTTTCTTCGAGTTCTTTTTTTCAGACCGAGTCGGATCATGTCACATGGGGTTGGACCGGCTAGATCGGGTTTTGAATTTTTTGAACAGCATTACCTCCAATTAGGGGTTTCTTGGAGGGAAGCTCAAATTTCTAACTAAAATGCCCTCAACTTTTTAATGATATTTCATAAATCCCTTTATGTAAAAAAAAAAAAGGAAAAAGAAAATTAACTATGTGTCCGACTCGACTTATGTCTAATCTTCTTCATTCATTTTTTATTACGAGAAAACTTAAAAACGGGGTTATGCTTCTTTGTCTAAGCTTACGAGAGGTCATTAACGTGACCACAACTTACATTGCCTTTTTCACTTCTTCGTCTTGGCCTCCTGGGTAACATTTATGAAGATGAAACTGCTGAATAACCATATCACAAATTGTGATCTCTTCAGACGCAGCTCCCCAAATGTGGCCTTTTTTTATTTTTTGTAAAAGTTTTATTATTATAATTGGTTTATTTTTTTTATACACATATTGATAATATAATAGAATGAGCTTGCATTTCCATAAATTATGCAATTTAAATTAATGTGTAAAATTATTTTATAAAAAATAAAAAATTTAAAGTAATATAAAGGGATATAATGGTAAATTAATTATTACTTCCTCTTCTCTCTCCTTCTAAACTAAATAAAAATTATTAAAAATATTTTTCCTCTCCTCCCCTCCCCTTCAATTAAGCTGTAATATTAAAATACTCTCGTCTCCTTTGCTCCCCTCCATTCACTTCCCTCCACTTTTCCTTTCTTGATCTAAACACAATCTTAGTGGATGTTTGGAAAGAGTAGATGTGTTAGGATAGCTACAAATATTGTATGAGTAAGTTGAAAGAAAAAGATGCCACATCTCAATTACGAGTCACTGATTTCAATTCAAAGGACCTGAGAAAATCAAAATTATATTGCTTCTGACATCAACAAATGAGTTGTCATTTCCCCCCAGTCATGCCGCCAACAATCAAATTAACCCAAATTGGGCATGAGAAAAAAATACAACACTCCACAGAACAAACCTTAATGGAAAAATGTTTGGAATAGAAGAAATTCACCAATGGCGGAAAATAATTGATTGCGAGCAACATATTCAATGAACCAACCAAAAACCGTGCACGGAGCACTTACAATTATAAAATATTGAAGTAGACAAGTTTGGTTATTCTTACTAATCTATCTTAATCTATAAAATTAAGATGATCAAGAGTCTAACTCTAAAAAAAATTATCAAATTTATAAAATTATAAGAGTGAGATCTCAAGTTTTTACAAATTAAAATACTTCAATACATCATAATTAATTCAAAAATTAGAGTGGAAAATATGCATAAGCATGAAATCTTAAATGGATCAATATATTTGCAAAATAATTGAAAATAACAAAGTGTAGCAAAAGCAAAGGTGCGTTGCGACTCACTGTAGATGCATTAGCTTGTTGCCTTTGTGCTCTACACCATGAAGCATTGCACGAAATTTGACAACACAGAGCTATCATATGACAGCTCCTGAAATAAACTTTTGACACGTTCCATTTTTTCGTCCAATGTCCGATTGAAGTGATTTAGGCGTCTACAAAGCGCTTTCTACTAACTCTAACTAATGGCATAAATTTCATAGTCTAATCATCTTTCAACCAGCAGTTGTACATCCATTTCAAAACTTATTCCTTTTTCATAATAATGCATGACTAGGGTATTCTTTTCATAATACAAGTGTCAAAAGCCTGTATTAATTCTTAAATCACACATAATGGATTATTACGGACTCATGTGACATACCACATCCACCCAATCACACATATTTCTTTCTTTTTTTCTTTTTCAATACTCAACCCTTTAATCATAAATATATGAAGGGGAGCCAAATATTCATATATCAACATAACAATCA